CCCCCCCCCCCCCCCCCCAATTACCTGCCCCAGCCCACTACACAAATGCTCTCCCCACCTCCTCCAGGTCACAACTCCCTCCCAGATCCTGCATGCCCTCCTACACCCCTTTTCCAGACCAGAATCCTCTCCTGCACCCATAACCCCTCCTGGACCCTGCACACCAAGCTCCTGTCCCAGATCATAACCTCCTTCTTTACCCAAACTCCCTCTCAAACCCCATATCCTTTCCTGTACCCTAGTCCTCTATCCCAAGCTCCCGTCTACATCCACCCACTGTCCCAGACCTCACACCCCCTCCACAGAAGTGAGGCCTTTGACCACTTACCAAAAATCTTGGTGTGGCCCGCCTTTAAAAATTATTGCCCACCCCTGAATTAGACCCTGAACGTGTGAACAAAATCCATCAACCAGGCACCTGGGCAAGAATTCTCTGTAGTAATTCAGAGACCTCCCCATCTAGTATCCCATCTCTGGCCATCGAGGGTTTTTGCTACTAGCAGTAACAGCAGTCCATGCCTTTGTGGGCAATCTCATCATGGCTTGTGGCTGGGCAGGAGAGCACAGAAAGCCTTTCCATCTGTTGTGTGCAACCCACTGGAAATGTGTGTTACAGACCCCTCTTAGGTGATGACCTACAGAGGATGTAAGTCTGTTACAGCTACAGAGACTTGGCTATTTAGCTCAAGCTGTAGCAGCTCAGGCTTTCACTTCTAGAAATTGGCACCCTGTTCACTCCCTGACGTGTTGGCCAAGATGGCAGCTGTCATAGCTACTCTGTGCAATGGTCAGGGATTACCCTAGTCCCTGTATTTAGGAGAGCACATAGGCTTCTCCCTCAATGCACCCATGGGAAAGTACCTCACCAGAGGGGTGAAGAAAAGGCCACAGGAAAGGGGCTAGGCTGCATCACTGTAGAGCATGTACACTATGCACTGTAGAGCATAGTTTGCCAATACCCCATGTGCACCAAGAGCCTGGAGCAGAGATTTGTTGCACCTGGAGTGAGGTTATGCTGCTTTGTCTCACTCCACTCTATAATCTATATTGTGGCTAAATGCTCCAAATCTCTCCTTGAGATAAGTATTAGTTCATATAAACAGCTCCAATGTATTAACATTTGTGCTTGCTAGATGTGGCTGCTGGTATGATGGGGTCAGTAAATCATAGGCCAAGCACAGAGATTCTGCAGGTCAAACTATTTCTCTACTGGTGGCAGGGGGCAGGACTGTCAGTGATTAGTGTTTTGTACCTTTCTGTGTGCTCAGGTGTCATTTAAGGGCAGTTGTTCATAGGTTGTAGTGAATATTCTTTGCAGATACATAAATTGTTACTTACCCCACATCTGTTAGCACAGCATCCAGCTCCACCTGCACCCAGCATCATAAATGCTGGCAAAATGATCTGTGAGTTAAGCACATACTGAATTAACATGTGAGGTTTCTGGATACTCAGCTTTAGTTTTACAACAATGTGTGAATTAAGTGGGGTCATTGGGATGAAGCTAGTTTAGCTTCTCCTGGCTCTTCACTGTGTATTCCACCAACTGAGAGTGTTGCCCTTGGAAGAGAGACTTAAGGTAGCTCTGTGGTAGTTCAACGGACTCCAAGGAAATTCACTGCAGTATTAACTAAAGGACAGATTTGGCACTAATGTAAATCAGTGTAGTTCCATTGATTTGAATGGTGTTACACCAGTTTACATCCGTTGAGAAGCTGGTGCTAATTAGAGTGCATCATTTTATTCATCCCTGAATTTGGGCCTTTGCATTAGACTGGAGCCAGGAAAGTGCAAACAGTACAATTCAGTCAACACTTTCTGAGCTCCACTCAGTTAGTTCCATGGTAATTGTTAGCTGGAGTCAAGTTAACAGGGTGTAGCCAACAGTCTTGTCCCAGACTGTGCCATGGCAGAATGTCCTATCATACCACATACGGTCTCCCTACACACTCTGGTTGTTCAATTACTGGAAGGTCTCTGTCCAGTAACCAGAATAAAGAATCTCCCTTTATGTTCATAACAGCTGACTCCACTGTTGTTTGTATAGATCTTTCATGCAGCAACATGGGAGAGAAAAGCATTTAATAAAACAGGGAAACTGACTGTCAAACAAGGGGAAAGAAGGAAGCAGGTGTAATGGGGAAGCCAAAGGCTAACTATTTTTTTTAACTGACTGAATTTCAACCAGTGTCCCTTTAACAGCTCATAGCAACACTATAAAAGGGCTTAGTGAAGAAAGTGAAGAATATAATGTTCATTGTAACAGAACTGCTGTGGGAAATGTATGTGCATAGAATACAAATACTGATGTTAGAATTTGGCTAGGACAGTCAGATAAAAAAATCATCTTGTTTCAGTAAGAACACAGTACTCTGATCAGGCATTGAGAGTATCGACTGAAAGGCAAGAGTGCCATCTACTGAATCAACAGTCCCGCTTCCTTCTCTACCCTTGTTTTCCTTGAAGGCTTTCCTCCTGTCAGGTCTGTGAGCAGAGTGGACTATTTTATCTGTGCTTGCAGCAAGTTCATTTGTTTGGTGTGGAGTGCAGGGCTTGTTTGTTGTTTCTCTTTTTAAGTGTCTGCAACTTCCTGCCTTTTGAGGTTAAAATGAGAATTGGCCAGGATGCTGGTGTCAGTGAGGTGGAGTCAATGTGTTAGTTGCGGCTCAGTCACTTCTGACAACGGTGCCATTCTTCTCACAGACTGACTCACGAAGAGTTTGCAACATGAGTACTAGTGACAAAATGAGTCATCTTCCCCTCTTTGAATTTCTGAATTTGCAAAATAAGAAAACAGTGGAGTTAAGCAAAATAAAGTTCTGTGTTCAGTTTTTATAAGGACATGTTTTTTAAAAAGCAGTCATGGAGGATAAGGAGAGAGCAAGCTTGAAGTGAGCCAAAGCTAGCTACTAAAGGGAAGAATGTTCTTGTGATTAAGGCACTGGTGAAGTGCACAGGAACCTGGATTCATTTCCCAGGGTGAGGCTGACTTTGTATGACCTTGAATAAAACCGTTTAATTTCTTCATGTTTCAGTTCCCTTGCTGTCTAAAGTGGATAATACGCTTCTTCTCCCACTTTTGTCTATTCACATCTTCTCAGTCTATCACAGAATTTAATGGAAAATAAATACACAAAACAGCACTGTTTTGCTGATCAGTAACTAGTGCTTGTAGTGCTGTTGTCACTGTTTTGGAGATCAATGCAAACTCCTCTTATTCTTTGTGTCCGTTTTTAATGTGTACCATTCTGGTCACAGCCTAGGCTTATTAGAACCCTAAGAGAAGTCATATTCGGAATGTGACAGTTCTCATGATAAATATCAGTTCTTCTTTTCACTGACAACCAGTGGGCTTTGGCTTGGAATGGTTTAAGTACCTGTGGCGCAATTTTCATCTTTGTTTAGATTTTCTATTCACACATCAAGGCTCAGCATAATGGACAGGTCTATGGAATATGTGGGTAGTACATCACAAGAGCCAGGAGAGCTATTTATAGCAGGATATTAATTTTTCTGTTTGGGAACTGTGAGCCTGATTAAAGCCCATTATACTTAATATGAGTTTTTCCAGTGACTTCAGAGCTAGACTTTTGGATCAGTCTACTGAGAATAGACTTTGATTTTGATGGATTTGTTGTCCACTGATATTCAGTAAGGAATACATTTAATTTCATTTATGTGGGCAGATGACAGCCTATTTAGTGTCTATTCACTTAGAATCTTTGCTATTCATTATTTGTGGTGTATGATTAGTCATCTCAGTTGCATGGCTTTTTCTCTTGCTCCTTGATTGCATGACTAAACTTGTATAGACAAGGATAAGCACGTCATATCATCTATTCAAACATAGTAAATATACAACTGTGGCAATTCTCATAAAGAACAGCCATTCCCCAAACAAACATGCAGGCAAAACCTGGTCACACACATGGTCACAGAAAGTGATCCCCCAAAAAGTTCAACCATGTACAAAAAAGCTATTTGGAATTCAAACTATGCACACAAAATAGAGGAGCAGTTCAGTGTGTCTACACTGCACCCTTATCTCAAAATAAGCTACGCAATTTGATCTACTCAAATTGTGTAGCTTATTTTGAGTTTATTTTGAAATTGAGTGCTATTACGAAACATTCCTTAATCCTCATGAGACGAGGTTTACAGGGATGTTGGAATAGCAAGCCCATTATATTTCAAAATAAAAGAGTTTGCTCAAAAGGTGTGGAATAGCTATTTTGGGATACTGTCAGTATCCCAAAATAGCTCCTCAGTGTTGATGTAGCCTATGAGAATTTACAACCCAACGCTGAACTTATACATTGAACTTCTATATGAACAGCAACGAAGTGTGTGTGTATTCTACAAAAATAATGAAAAGCCAATATATTTGTTTCCTCTAATATCTGGAATCTTGAATTTCTTTGTACACAAAGATTTTCATAAAGAAGTTATATTTATTTATGTAGGTGATTTCCCCTTAAACTCCCTGAATATGTCCTCTCAGTTTTAGACCCCAGATAGTTTTAGATTTTTTCCTGAAGATAAGATGGGTCATCTGCACATTTAGAGGCAGCTCCATGGATTATTATTTGGAATTGACAGAGGTATTCATAAGCCTTAAAAAGTTGAAATAATTTAAACAATAACAATAACTATAAGCTTTCGTGGGCAAAGACCCATGAAAGCTTATGCTCCAATACATCTGTTAGTCTATAAGGCGCCATAGGATTCCTTGTCGCTTTTGCAGATCCAGACTAACACAGCTACCCCTCTGAAACTTAACAATAACTATGACAAAACATCTTGCTTACCAATATTCCAGCTCCAAGAATGCCATGGAAATACCAGACCAAATCAGTTATGTTTTTAGGGTCTAAAACATTTCCATTGGGAAAGAACAGGAGAATATTGGAGATTATGGCACAGATAGCTAATGGGAACAGCACGACTCCAATGCACTTTGAACACTTCCCAGTGCACATTGTAGCTCTCCCCTGGGGAAGCAAATGAGAGGAAAGGATGGATTATGGTATAATTTATAAAAACAATGAGACTTTACAAGGTAACACTTTTCTTTCTTAGCTGGAGAGAACTTTAAAGTATGTGACACTCATTAAGGAAGGTATTTTCAATGTTCCATTTATTTAAGAAAGATGCTGCTATACAGAGCTTTTTGCCTACAGGCCAAACCTGGGCCCAGGTTAGCAGTAAAGAAATATTGGCTGCTCAGTTTCCTATGTGAAATGGCTGTGTCCTCTGTGAAATAAATGGATGGTGTCATGATAGTTGCTACAGAACAGTTGTCCACATAATTAACTAATGCCCTTGCTGACAGTTTAAGGTGTGGGGTGAAGGACTGAATAGGCATGGAAACAGAAGAATTTAAGTTAGTTAGATCTTCAGACTCAGCAAGGAGTACATACATAGCATGGTTTGGAGAACATAAGAACATAAGAATCATAGAATCATAGAATACTAGGAATGGAAGGGACCTCGAGAGGTCATCGAAGAGGTCATCGAGTCCAGTCCCCTGCCCTCATGGCAGGACCAAATACTGTCTAGACCATCCCTGATAGACATTTATCTAACCTACTCTTAAATATCTCCAGAGATGGAGATTCCACAACCTCCCTGGGCAATTTATTCCAGCGTTTGACTACCCTGACAGTTAGGAAATTTTTCCAAATGTCCAACCTAAACCTCCTTTGCTGCAGTTTAAGCCCATTGCTTCTTGTTCTATCCTCAGAGGCCTAGATAAACAAGTTTTCTCCTTATGACACCCTTTTAGATACCTGAAAACTGCTGTCATGTCCCCCCTCAATCTTGTCTTTTCTAAACTAAACAAACACAATTCTTTCAGCCTTCCTTCATAGGTCATGTTCTCTAGACCTTTAATCATTCTTATTGCTCTTCTCTGGACTCTCTGCAATTTCTCCATATCCTTCTTGAAATGCAGTGTCCAGAACTGGACACAATACTCCAGCTGAGGCCTAACTAGCGCAGAGTAGAGCGGAAGAATGTCTTCTCGTGTCTTGCTCACAACACACCTGTTAATGCATCTGTGGCGGGGTAGCCCCGCCCCTCCCGAGAGTCGCC